TTTTTTTTTTTTTTTTTCAAATGAAAATATATTTAATTATTTATTAACGATAAATTCATGTTTTTCTATAAATAGATTAAAAAAATATACATTATTATCTCATTATAATTCTATTGTAAGTAAAAGTATTATTTTATTATAATCTTATTGTATTATTGTATTTTATATAAAATGTCTTATCTTACTATAATCTTATTATATTCTTTATGCGTAACAAAAAATTTATATGATTGAATATTATTATATTCTATATGTCTAATCTATATATTATTGTTATGTTATTGATGATATCCATCGCCTAAAAACAATCGTTTTATATAACTTTCTAATGGATGACTTCTTTAAATAATTTTTTATATTACTTTTTAATCGAGTTTTTTTTTTCTAAAACTAATTATTTTCCTGTAAATTTCGAATCGAGGTTTTAATCTTGTAGTAAGACTAGACATATGTCATACCGATAAAATTAAGTAGAATTACAGAAAGATAATACTTTATGTCCGACCACTTCATCCACCATCGATTTCCTTTCAACCCCCACCTCTCTCTCTCTCTCTCTCTCTATATATATATATATATACACACACACTACAAACTCCTCCATCTCCGTTGTTGGTAGCAAGCAAACACTGCTGAGTTGAAGACACATAATAGTTTATAGACAAAACTGCAAAAATTGTCTTTATGATATGCATTTTTTCTGAGGTTTAGTCCATACCTCAACTTTTTTGGCTTCATGGTCATTTTGACATAGTTTGTATGTGATTTTGGTCCCTCCGAAAATTAAAATGATTATTATACCTTTTTATTTTTATTTTTACATTTTTAATATTTGTTTTGACAATTTAATAACTAAAAATATAAAAGAGGGCCCACATATTCTCTCTCTCTATCTATCTCTCCCTCTCTCTCTCTCTCTCTCTCGTTTGAATAAATGTAACACCGAAATTTTCAAAACTAAAATTTTCATTAAAATTCGCTGCGTTCTTAAAACCCTTTTTGTAAAAATCTCACTTTGTTTAAATTACTAAACATAACTCCATAATCAATTAAATAATAATCCAGGATCCTCTAAAACATAACTCCTCCTCTGGTGTGTACAATCGAGCCGGTGCCGTCCCGTGATCCTGAGAAAACCTGAAACACATAACACATAACACGGTAAGCACGAAGCTTAGTGAGTTCCCCAAAATACCACTCCAACACATATTAGCCACTCAGGGCTATAACTCTGTTGACCCTCTGGTCAGCGTGTCTCAGTGGGACCCTCCAGTCCCAACTCTCTGTGGACCCTCTGGCCCTAACTCTATGGACCCAAAGGTCCTAACTCTGATAACTCTGAATCATGCATATCACATATCACAATAAATCTCATAAAATAAATAGCATACAATTACACTGGCACATAACTCTAAACCTAACTTTGTGGACCCCCTGGTCCTAGCTCTGTGAACCTTCCGGTCCTCACTCTGATATACACACAGCATAAATCACATAGAAATAATGTAGTGCCACACATCGCATAGATAGCATACAATAACTCTGTCACATAACTCTGTTACCATTCTAGGTAAGGTATAATGAGAAGACTCACATCGGATGTCTCTGGTAATCTCGCACGCGCATACACTGATCCAGCCTCTGCCTAAACACATAAACAATTATCTTAATTAATAACGGCTCTCCAGGCTAGACTAATCCCTTCCATGTCCTCTAAGAAGGCTAAAAGACCATTTTACCCTTTAAATGGTCCATATTGACCAATTGTTGACCAAACCCTAAAAGTCAACAAAAGTCAACTCAAGTCAACGGTCAATTCTGACCAGACTCGTCGAGTACACAAGGGTGACTCGGCGAGTCCATGCGTGTCTCCTGACTCTTCCACGGCCTCACTCGACTCGTCGAGTGAACCTTCCACTCGATGGGTTTCCACTGGATTCGTATCGCGAGGCAACCCGACTCGACTCGTTGAGTCTCCCCATGGACTCGGCGAGTTGCTCCCATGACAACACTCATTTGACCTTCTGAGGTCAGATCAGTTCCTCTAATCCATAGATCTGGCTTCCCTACGACCAATAACCACATAAAGGTCGAGGCTTGACATACATGCAAAGCTCACAAGGCTTTCCTAGGAGAAATGGCTCCAAGAATGGCATCAAAGTCTCATTCTCTCCATGAATCAACATAAAGCATACAAAATAAGGCCCTATGGACCTCTATGGGTCCAGATCTGGGATCTCTCACACAAAGGGACCCTATACTCATCACTACAAGCCATAGGAAGGTGTAAAAACCCTAAAATCACCAATCTTACCCAAAACAGAAAAGGGAAAACGATTTGATACCTCTACAATGAAGATACGAGCTCAGAACTCTGAATCAACAACTCCCTTGACCTCCCCTTGCTGGAAATGACTTCTCCCTTGCAAAATCACACCAAGAATGCTTAAAATGGCTTTATCTCTCTCACTCTTCGCTCCAGCTCTCTAGGGTATCTCTCTCTGGACTGGTAGCCGCACAAGAGGGCTATAAGGTCCTTTAAATAGGTCTCAAACCCGGACAATTAGGGTTTTCCTTAACAACACTGACTCGGCGAGTCCAGATACCCGACTCGTCGAGTCCCTTCATTAAACAGATCACCAAGCCGCGATCCTACTCGACGAGTTGAGGCATCAACTCGCCGAGTCTCTTCATATCCCATAATAAAATACTCAAATTTCCATGCCTAGATATCCGGATGTTACAATAATCATCATCCATTATTTCCCTGATTTTTACAAGAAAAAAAATACAACCACCGATTATGGAGAATGTTCCGGCACATGAGTTTTCCGACAACGAGAAATTTTTGGCTACTGATGTTTCTTGAGACAACCACCACGTTATAGCGACTGATTGTTATGGAGACAACAACCATTATTAACCCTAGCGTCCCCTTCATCTTTCCAGATCTGCCGCCGCTGTCGACTGATGAAAACGAAAGGAATCAAGAACTCCTAAGTCATAAACCCTTCGTATTTCTCTTTCTAAAAAACCCTACTCGATTTTTCGGCGAAGAACAAGACCCTAACCGTCGCCTCAAAGCAGCATGTCTGTCGCAAAACAACACGGCTTCTAGATCCGGCTCTACTGAAGAAGATACACAGATGGGCGACGAAACTACTGGAGAAGAACATAACGCCTCCTTCGACGAGTTAGGGTTTCAGATCGCCGCCGTCCTTTTTCTTTGCCGAAAACCCTAATCCATATGAGATAAGGTGGTGACGTTAGGGTTTCGAAAGTCGGTGATGGTTTTTGTCGAAAATAGGGGTTATGGAGATGGTTTCCGGTGGAGAAAATCGATTTGTGTGTTTTCTGAACATAAAATCAATTTCATAAAAATCGTGAAACCTTAACCCTATAAATCGATTTGTGGGTTTTGTGTTCATCCTAGAAAATCGTTTTTACTGTGTGTATGTGTGTGTTTTTTCATTTTTCAAAATCGATTTTTGTATAAGTGTTAATCCCATAAAGCGATTTGTATGTGGGTGTTTCAATGAGATTCAAAAATCGACTTTACATTCCCGATAGTAAAACATAAACACGACTAGATTTATGAGTGCGTTTGTTTTGTGTTTGTGTATGATTTTTCTTTCTGGGATGATTTGTAGATGGAAATGAAGTGGTAGAAAAAATTTAGATGGAGATGGAGGTGGCAGACGGTGGCGGCGGCAGACTGTGGTGGTGGCAGACGGTGGTCAAACGGTGGTAGTGGCGGAAGATGTTATTGAGTTTATGAAAATGTTATTAGATAGCTAAACCCAAATATATATATATATATATATATATATCTATATAATATATATATATATATATATATATAGAGAGAGATAGAGAGAGAGAGAGAGAGAGAGAGAGAGAGAGAGAGAGAGAGAGAGTGAGAGAGAGAGAGAGAGAGGTGGCCCCTCTTTTATATTTATAGTTATTAAATTATTAAAAGAAATATTGAAAATATAAAAATAAAAATAAAAGGGTATAATAGTCATTTTAATTTTAGGAGGGACCAAAACTACATACGAACTAGACCAAAAGAACCATGAAGCCAAAAAGTCGAGGTTTGGACTAAACCTCAGAAAACATGCATACCATAAAGACAATTTTTACAGTTTTGTTTAGTTTAAAGGTTGAGTTGTGGTTGTAATAGGCGGGACTTATTTATTTATTAATAATATATATAAAAATAAGAAAAAGACAAAAAAATTATTTCGTTATTTAATAGAGGAGGTTAAACGGTAACCGAAAAGGACCAAAGTTGATGGGTTTTGCAACCATGCCGACCTATAAAAATATATAAATCACAAGGACCAAAACTATAATTTACTCTAAGTTTAATCTTGTATTTGAAATAAATATGTTGAAAGTATCTAGGGCCGTAAACGAAACGAACGAACACGTACAAGGGCTTGTTCATGTTCGTTCGTTTAAGTTATCCGGACAAACGAATTAACACGAACAGATAAACGAACAAGTTTTGTTGTTCATGTTCGTTCGTTTAGAAAAAATTACATTGTTCATGTTTGTTCGTTTATATTCGTGAACATGCTAAATGAATATGATTATTTTCTCTGATCATGCCACAATCATCTATACACCCAAAAACGAGAATTAATATTAAACTTTAAAAAACTACAAACTATAGTCAATTTCAATGATTTGCTTCCATGGACCAAAGTGCATTGAACCCATGGAGCATGAAAATCAAATGTTTCAACCATCCAATTATTAGCTATTTGATTTTGATATTGCGATTTCATCTGTGACACAAGTACATTTCACAGAATTTGTCTTCTATGATGATAATTTTTTTACTCTGCAGCTTGATGATCTAAGGATTCTAAACGACATTAAAATTTTGAAAACTTAGACTCAAACCGTAGATTTATGTAAACCAAAGGGACCAAAAGTGTAATTTACTACTTTTTTTTATTTTTCTTCCCTCCACATCTGTCCGAACTCCGAACCAAAAATTCCCTCCTTCCCTGGTTTTCTGTTCTCTCTAATCTCTCCCACTTTCCCCCTTCAAACCCTCGCATTCTCTCTTTAAAATAAACCCTCCATTTTCATCGATCCTTTTTGTTACTTTCCCTAATCCCCCCAAAACCTTGTAAACCCTAGACCCAATTCAACAATCGACACTGAAGAACTTCTTTTTTGAAGTTCTAAGTTCACAAAATGTCGGAAGCTCGAGTTTCAAATCTCCATGAGGCGCCATCACCACCTACTGCATCGGCGGGTGTCGGAGGAAGAGGACCGATCCCTCATCCAATGAGACGGCACCTGTCGTTATATTCGACAAAGCCGCCCTTTATACCCTCCGATGATTACCATCGCTTTTTCGACTGGAAATGATGGCAAGAGAATCGCCACCACCGCCGATCAGGACTCCGAATTCATCATCGTTAGATCTCCGGTAGTTGTTCATGTGTATTTGTCGAAGTAGTTATGCGGTTTATGATTCTAATTGTCCCAATTTAGTACCAATTATCGGCTTAATTGTAACCTTACATCATTGAGGATTATAACACAAAGCTCCCGCATCATTTTGCCCCTTGCTTCTGCTTCGCTTATCTGTAGATTAGGGAAGTTATAGTAACTATATTATCTCCGATTCAGGTTATTTAAGTTGCCTCTTTGCATTTTGCTTCAACTAGTAAAATAGTTTACAGTTTCTTCTGGTCAGTTAGTCCCCTGAACCATACTACATTTTCAGAATTCCATAAGCTCTCTTACTGTTTATCTTCCTTCACCTTTTGAGTTCTGATTTATGGTATTTCTAATCTTCACAGAACTGCAAGGTGACATAATGGACTCTAGAGTCTAGACAAGGATGATTAATTGATTACAACCTTTGTATTTAGACAATGCGAAATTGAGAAAACATTATTGAATCTTGACTTCACAATCTTAAATGCTCAATCCCTTTTCTTCTATTCCATATTTCATACAAGCATCCATACAAATCTATCAGCTATGCAATCTTGATTGATGACTTTAGAATTTAGATATAGATCTTACAACAAGCACAATGTACCAATATCACAATTCATTTCATAATTGATGTTTCACAGCAAGTGAAGAGAAAACTTGGAACAAGCCACTACAATGAAGTTGCATCTACAGTCAATAGTCCAGTTTGCACTCCTGTATCTGCAAAAGGTGGAAAAGTCAACAGTCGGTCAAAGGGTACAAAGAGCAACAAACCCATTCCTCAATCCCCTCTTCACATTTCAGGTGAGACATTAACACATAACATGAAGTCAAAACATGTTTATAACATAAAACACAGTTTTTGTTATTTAAAAGAATTGATTTCTTGGATTGATTTTAAACTATTTATGTAGGATCACCTTCTCCAGCTACTCGATATGATAGCTCTCTTGGTAAGTTTTAATTTCAACATTTTATATTTCTTTTAAATGTAAAGAAAACAGTTATCTTGATTGGAAAATTCTAAACTTTTTAGGTCTTTTAACAAAGAAATTCATCAATCTCATTACACATGCTGAAGATGGTATTGTTGATTTGAATAATGCTGCTGATACTTTGGAGGTAAGTACCCTTTTTAGTTTTTAAGATTCTTAAGAATTTATATAATTATATACTTAAGAATTTATAATGATACAGGTGCAAAAGAGGCGGATATATGATATAACAAATGTTCTTGAAGGCATTGGGCTAATTGAAAAAAAACTCAAGAACAGAATTCGATGGAAGTAAGTTATATTTTTTTTTGCATGCTTTGACTTTAGTCAACATTTGTATTATTCTTACATGAAAATCTATAAATATATATATATATATCTTTAGAGGCCTTGATTCTTCCAAACCTGAAGAATTAGAGGATGATGTCACTCTATTACAGGTATCAGAATATCAGATAGTGGATATTATTGTAATTTTTCTTTTTTGTAAATATATAAATTTTGTTTTTTTGGTTGTAGGCAGAGGTTCAAAGACTTTCAATGGAAGAACAAAGATTGGATGAAAGCATCAGAGAAATGCAAGAAAGAATGAGGGAATTTAGTGAAGATGATAACAACCAAAAGTAATTATTATTATTATTATTATTATTATTATTTATTTCTTTGATTAATATTTAGATGTAAGATTCTTGCTGACATGGCATTGTTTTAGATGGCTTTTTGTGACTGAAGATGACATAAAAAGTCTACCATGCTTTCAGGTGAAATTGTAGTTTTTATTTTATGCAACAATTTCTTGATTTATTTTTATAAAAAAAAATGTCTAAAAGATTTTATTTATTTATAATTCAACAGAATGAAACTCTGATAGCTATAAAGGCTCCACATGGGACTACTCTTGAAGTTCCGGATCCTGATGAGGTAAGGAGATATGGAAATTCAAAATTTTACACTCAGGGGCATTTTAGTCAATTCATATTATATATCAGGCTGTTGATTATCCACAAAGGCGATATAGAATAATTCTTAGAAGCACAATGGGTCCAATAGATTTATATCTTGTGAGGTACTTTTTGTAAATTCTTCAAATTATTTGCTTTTATGGAGTTAGTTAGTATTAGTAAAATAGTAATGCTTATTGTTACACTCGGGGGTATTTTAGTCAATTTGAAGACATGGATGGGGTCGAAGAACAAGTCCCCATGCAAATCGCTTCAAGTTCCGGCTCTAATGATAATCCAACAACCGAGACGGTCGTTGTGGAACCGCACCCTCAAAATGTGAATAGTAGTATGACCGCCTCACCGGGGAGAATCACAAAGATACTTCCGTCTGATGTTGATGTAAGTACGATACTGATACTGATACTTGATAATACTGATACTAGATATGGATATTGATATTAATACTGATATGATACTGATACTGATAATTGATAATACCGATACTGATACTTGATAATACTGATACCAGATATTGATATTGATACTGATACTTGATACTTGATACTTGATACTACTGATACTACTGATATTGATATTGATACTGATACTTGATACTTGATAATACTGATATTGGATATTGGATATTGGATATTGATATTTGATAATACTGATACTGATACTTGATAATACTGATATTGGATATTGATATTGATACTGATAGTGATACTTGATACTACTGATACTGATACTTGATAATACTAGATATTGGATATTGGATAATGATATTGATATTGGTATTGATACTGACACTGATGTTGATGTTGATGAGACAAAATCTACAATTATTGCAGAACGAGGCAGACTATTGGCTTTTGTCAGACAGAGAAGTTCCATTGACGGATATGTGGAATACAGATTGTATGGTTTCTCCTAAAACTATTTCTTTTAGTAACAAGAGTAATTTACATTTTTGGTCCTTGGGTATAGCTAGTTTTTTCAATTTTGGTCCTAAAACTTTTCTATTGCAATTCTGGTTCTTGGAAAGTTTTTTGTCCTTGGGGACCAAAATTGCAAAAATCAGGGAACAAAAATAGTTATTTTATTTAGAATAGACCAAAAAAACTTTACAAGAACCAAAGTTGCAATAGAAAAGTTTTTAGGACCACAATTGAAAAAATCAGCTATACATAGGGACTAAAATTGTAATTTACTCAAAAAAGTAATAATATTTGTTTGACTACTTGATCGCAGTAGTGGGTGATATGGAGTGGGATGGGGTCGATTTACTTAGTGAGGAATTTGGATTAGCTGATGACGTCACTACACCTCCTACATCTGTTAATGCTGACGTCACTATTCAGAGATGACACATGAAAACTCAAATGGATCTAATTGAATTTGAAGGTGCGGGTTACGGGTCGGGTATGTTGTACAGTAAAACTCTAAAATTGAAAAATAAAATAAAATTATGAGGGTATTGTTTGGAACGAGTTAAACTTAGTTTTTTATTATTTTATTTAATTTGTTAAAAAAGATATCGATGTACTCTTCTTTTGTTCTATGGTTAAGGTAGTTAAAATTGTCAGCAAAGGTTTTGTGTATTTATTAGTATATGAACAAAATGTTTCAAAAGTGTCTGAGTTCAACAAAACCTAGGGGCCATTTATTTAAATTATGTCAATTCCCTCACAAAAATCTTTAATATATATCAAAAATTAAAATCAGACCAAAAGTATCAAGTTCAACAAAATAAAAGAACCATTTATGTAAATTAAGCCAATTCAGGGACCATTTATTTAAGTTAAGCAAATTCCCTTACCAAAATCTTTAATATATATAAAAAAAATCAAAAATTGTCATGTTCAACAAAATCTAGGGACCATTTTTGTAAATTAGGCCAATTCCTTAAAATCTTTAATATATATAAAAAATCAAAAATGGGACCAAAAATGTCTACTTCAACAAAATCTAGGGACCAGTTTTGTAAATTTGGCCAATTCTTATGTTCATAAGCATATTATGCTTAAAAAAAATAAAATTGTCAAGTTCAACAAAATCTATGGACCATTTTTGTAAATTTGGCCAATTCGTTAATATATATAAAAAATCAAAAATGGACCAAAAATGTCTACTTCAACATAGTAAATTTGACCCAAAGTTCACTATTCATAAGCAAGTTATGCTTTTTATATGTATATTAATTTAGAGTAGTTTAGTAGTTGAATGAATTTGTTGTTAAAAAAACTTGTAAACTACACCATTGTCCTAGACATTCTTGAGCTTTAGCTTACAACCACTTAGGTAAGAGACAATATGTCAAACATAACATGCACATTGGCATAGACGTGCACAAAATGATTGGTCACGAATCGGACTTGAAAACCAGTCTAAAATGAGACTAGACCAAAAAAAGACAACCGGACCGTTCAAGACCGATCTGAGACTAGTGTCAAAATATACTGATCGGCAAACTTTATAAACATATCATTTGTGTTAATTACATAAATTTTAATCACATATTATCTAACTTATAAATCATATTTTATTATTGATTATTAGCTTTTTTAACATATGTAAGTTATTTTAACTTTCTCTACCATGTATCATGTAGTATATGAGTTATAACCTAATTACTAATTACAAAAAGAATGAAAATATGATATTTAAAAAAAAATGAATTTTATTAATTAGAGTAGATTTTATTTTATTTGCTTCTATATAGTATATACTATATTATCTATATAGTACTTGCGTCGTGGCTGCCTCGAGGTGCACAAAAGGCTTTCATATTAAAGTTGGGCCTGAACAAGGCCCATAATCTGGTGAGAAAAAGCCCAATTAATTATAACCAGGGGTGGACTTGGCCCAACATTTTAGCACGTGTACTTGTGGCTTTAGGTTTTGTACCTTAAATAGATGGGAGCAATAAAGTGATAAAGCTTAAATCATACTCAACTTGCAATGTATCGTACCGTTAATTTGTTTCTTAATTGGATTTGACTTGCAAGTTGGATGTAATATCCCTAATGGATTCGGCCAATTGCCTAAGATCACATTACTCAAAGTCATTATCTTGATTTAAACGAATCAAACACTTTATATATCACAATCCACAAGTCATAAGTCATAACTATAACGTCATAACTATAACTACACAACTTTACACTAAAGTTTGAGCAATGCTCTATAACATAAAAGAATATACGATTAAAATAATTAATATTTTTTGTTTGAATGTATCTTTTTGTAATATTGATATATTTTAACTTCAACGAAATAAGTAAATATCAAATATATCGTTAATTCATATTATTTTACTTTCATTTTATATATTTCAATTATTTTTAAAAAACTACTTAGTTATCATATTGTTATTAAAATATAAAATAATTTAGACAACACATTAACCATAATGAAATTTCACAATATATAAAAAAAATAAAAAAAAATGGTTATGAAAAATAAAAATGTTATACAGTAATACATAAAATTTGATATTGACATGTTAAGTATTTATAATAAAATCATAAAAATGCTAAGTTTAAAAATGATTTTATTATAGAAAACATTGACCAAAAATAAAATATGTAGTTTATTATTTTGTTGATCTTTATAAATAAGTAACAAATGGTCCGTACGATTCCAATGTGCAATCTCTTAAATCAATTAAAATTGAGAGGAATTTGAATTTGATGGAGCATTTCAGTATTGTAAAACTAAAACTCTTTAAATTTCAGTATTGAAAAACTCTGTCAAGTTAAAAAAAATCAATTTATTTTAACAACATAGAGATGTTAAAAAAACAGTATTTTTCTTGCTAATAGCAAATGTTTGATCTAGCTCTTCTACTATAGATGTATGCGGATGTGGTCTGCAGACTGCAGACTTTTTGCTTCTTAAAAAAACAGACACCACTTTAACCTCCTACATATAAGATTTTATAGATTTTTGTAGTTAGGTGAGGAATTTAACCTCCTCCGTAGATCTTTAATGGTGAGAGGGAAAGTTCATATAGCTTATAATAATTGGGATGACGAGGGTTTCATTTGAGGTCATAAGAGGTCTTCGAAAGATCTACAACATTTAGACCAATTTTGATCATCACTTCTCCGGTATCTTTAATGGTGAGAGGGAAAGCTCATATAGCTTATAATAATGGGGATGATGAGGGTTTCATTTGAGGTCTTCGAAAGATCTACAACATTTAGACCAGTTTCGATCATCACTTCTCCGGTCATGGGTGCTTAAAGTTGGCAATCATTATTTTGGCGGCAACAATAAGAGAGAGAGAGAGAGAGAGAGAGAGAGAGAGAGAGAGGATGTCTCATAAATGGGTGGAGTGTGAGAAATATAATTTAAATAATAATATTATAAAGAGTAAATTACACGAATGGTCCCGATGGTTTGGGGTAATTTGCACGTTTGGTCCCTAACTTATTTTTTTAACTCGGAAGGTCCCTACTGTTTGTTTTTATTATGCGCTTGGTCCCTATTTGTTACGCGCTTGATCCCTGTCTTACCTAAAAAGACTATTATTTAAATATGGAAAAATAGTGGGGCAGGTAAGGTAAAGTGAGGAGGGTAGGGTTGAGGGTGTGTTTATTTAAATAAATTAAAAAATCAAGGACAAAATAGTATTTTTAGGTAAGACAGGGACCAAACACGTAACAAAAACAAACAGTAGGGACCTTCCGAGTTAAAAAAATAAGTTAGGGACCAAACTCGCAAATTACCCTAAACCATAGGGACCATTCGTGTAATTTACTATATTATAAATTCAATATAAGTAAAAAAAGAAGTTAGAAAAAAGAAAGAAAAAGCATACAATGGATTTCTCGAATGCCGATGGATAGATCAGCCTTGCTCCACGAGGTTAGGAGGATGCTCCCTTCTATTTCTTTTTGGGGGTGGCTTTCTTATATCGGCAAGCAACAAGACTTTATATAGGAGACAAACATATATGGTCCGCCACTGGGGTGCAACAAGACGACCCTTTGGGAACTCTTTTTTTGCCCTTGCTTAGCACTCGTTAGTGCATAAGATTGGTGAAAATTGCAAGCTCCTTCTCCAAGCTTGGTATCTAGATGATGGGACTATCATTGGGGATGCACTAGAGGTGGCTAGAGTGTTTAACATTATTCGGGTGTATGGTCCTGATAGGTTTTTTAGGTTATAAAAAATTCATGTGGCGGAAAAACTCTTAAACCATTAAGTTCACGTGCAACCTAGAAATGATCTATGTTATCTCTATTGCTAGCAACTAACTATGGATATCAAGAAACCCTAGGAAACCCTAGTATAAGTGAAATTACAATAAGGTTTAGGGTTACATACCTTTTGATTAATATAGCAATTAATCAACCAAAATCTCCTTTGACTTCCTTGGAAAGCAAGAACCAAAAGCTTGGATGCCTCTAATGAATTGTACCCACAACCCTAATAAATAGAAGACTTGAGGAGAGAGGATGCTTGAAGCAAATTTTAGCTCTATGAAGCTGAAGAAAAGTGAATGAAAATATGAGACCCTAGGGGGTCCTATTTATAGCTGATAAGGAAGCCTCGGATAACCCTAATTTGAATATAATAATATTATTTCAAATATGGCAATTATCCAACTCCTTAATTATCAATAATGATCATTCTAGAAACCCTAAATCCATGAACAAAATCGACCATGCTAGGAAGGTTCTAGAATCCCTCTCTTGTTCAACTATTGAACAATTACAACTTAGTCCCCCGCACTTCCAATTAAATTTAATTAACCCGAAATTAATCCAATTAATTTCTGTTAATTATTAATTAATTATAACTATTTCAAATTAATATATTAATCATATAATGCATTAATAAATCATTTGTTACAATTTCTTAATCATATAATAAATTAACAAAACAACCTCTTTCTCTAAAAGTCATTATATCCAGTTATTGGTTATGAGGACAACCCAAAAATGACTTTGCTTCTAATTCAAGAATATACCAATTTAGTTATTGGCTTAGACACCTTAATCCAACAGTCTCCCACTTGGATAAGTCTGTAACTACAATTGCAAGTATAGACCTTGAAGTAAACAACAAAGAGTGCTTTCCAAAGCTATTGCCAAACTCCGATTCAAATCAGCTACTAGTCCTAAGATAACTGATCTGCTATCCCTTCGTTCTTCAAGATATCATATAGACATGAGACATGGATTAGAATCCAAATCATTGTCCAAGATTCTGTTTCTCGATTTCCTGATTTGTCAAGACTTTATTTGACTTCAATTGAACACATCAGTTAGTCTTGGCTATGCCCAACACTTATAATGTCAACATTAAATCATCAAGGGGCCCACTAATATCACTTCTTGTTAGGGCAAAAAGAACGAATAAACTTTGACTACATAACTGTAACCTTAAATCACCAAATCATATGCGATACAGTGTTTTATAACATCAAGTTACTAATGTGTTTACGTAATACCAATACACAACTGATTCGTAAATTACAACTTATGCATCTCCGTTTGAAGAATAAAAGATATTATCGTCTTAGAATTA